GTGCGGGAGGTCGAGGGTTCGAGCCCCGGCCGGACCAACACTCAAGGTCTTAAAATAATTGAGAAGAATTTGCTACCTTTCTATAACATCAAGAAATGGTTAGATATTCTAGTCTTCTCGGATAGGGACGAATAAGTGGAGGTCCCGTCTCCTGCAGGGTTGGGGCAGGAGACGTTAATTTCCCACACACGAGATTACTGTGTGATGGATGTCCTCCCCTGGGGTGGGATGGGTGAGTTAGGACAGCAGGACCACATCAGCTATTACAGCTGCCAATTAATCAACCTGCTTAAACAAATAAATGAACTTGAACTTGAACTTTCTCTGTTTTTTATAAGCATATGTATCTTCATTGTCATACATTCTTAAATTATCATCTTCTTTCCTTCAACTTCTCTACAAAAGCTTTGCTTTTACAATTCAGGCCTAATTAACATTTTCATCAGTTACGTTTATGAGCTCAGGTTTGTAAGTGACCATGCAGTGTCAAATAGATTGATGCAATAAAATCCTCTAAAATATTGCTTGCTTTTGTAGGAAGATTTATCTAGTCTGTCAGATGGCAGTGATGTTATCATCATTGAAAATTTCCCTCCAAACATTAAAGAACAGGTAACTATTAGCAATGCTATTATCAACTAGTAATAATTGAAAGATTTTGTACTTGATATCTCTGATGACACTTAACTAAAAAGGAGTTTTAATGAAGTAAATGCGTATTTCTTTGTAGGATTTAATTGATCTATTTGATCCCTATGGTGATGTTCTATCTTGTATGATTGATAGAGATGGCAAAGGAATAAGCCAAGGAACATCACTTATCAGGTTTGCTAGTTTTGAAATGTGTGGATCTTTTCATAGGGTGTTTCATCTATCTACTCAACTTAGCTGCATAGCCAAGTGTGTACCTTGATTCATTGTTAGATAGCCCTTTTATTGCCTGCTTGTAGCATTTAATTGTGATACAAGGATACAGGCATGTTATAACTTGACTCCACCTCTTCTCCTAGCTAAGGTCACAGGTTGCATACAAGAATCATATTTGCATGCAAGCAGAAGTGTCAATTAACAGGCCAGGTGTGGCATAAAATTAACTGTCAAGGTTATTTCTACACAGTTAGAGCTCCCAAGGGAAGATTTGTCAATCCCTAACGGAGGCTAAGTTGAAATTGTAAATTGGCCACTGTAACAAGTAAAAAAGCTGACATTTGAGCTTTAGCCCTTTGTCATTCGCTCTGATTAAGGGCTAATGCTCTAAACGTCAGCTTTTTTACTTGTTACCGTTGGCAATTTACAATTTCAACTTAGTTGATTTAACCAAAGTACCTTGTTACCCCCACTGACGCAGCACCAAAGTTTCTTTAGAAACTTTCAGCCCCTAGCAGAGGCTGTTTTGTGATTTGTAGTTTTTCTGCTGTTTTGCTTTAGAATGGAAAGTAGGACTGTTTGTGAATGGATAGTGAACACTTTTTCTGGTGAAGTATACCCAGGTCAGAAAAAATTTACAGTGTTGAAGTGGATGTCTGATTTGTTTTAAAATTGCCCATACAATCATCATCATCATCATCATTATTGCTATTGTCATTATTCTATTTATTATGATTATCATTGTCACTATTTTTGTTGTTTTACTTGGGCCTTATTTAAAGCAGAGAGGTGGTTGGGAGAATTTGAGGCAGGCAGGCAAACAAGGGAAATTCTCATGACCCTGGTCAAAAGGCAATGTGATCAAAGAAAAGTCCCCTTTTGCTTCCATAATATTTCTCAAAAAGGCATGGCAAGTATAGTAGTCACTATGTGATACCATATCAATAATCCATACATAGTCCAAAATCCAATAAAGATAGCAAACATAATTTTACAAATTTTTCTACCACACTTTTAGCAAAGCAGGACCAAGCAGTCTCTGTCCTTTTGTTTCAGGAGCAAGTGAACCTATGGTGTGCCGTTTCCTCACAGAGCAATGAACACAGAAATGAATTATAGTATTAACGACAAAGTTGAAGAACAGCTTATTTGCCAATTCAATCTCTTTCCATGTCTGTGTCAGTCTGTTGTCGCTGCAAACCTCAAAGAGCGTAACACAACTGTGTTTGATTCTTGTGCTTGTCGCGTCATGTTTTACACTCTGTGACCTCTTACTTGAAAGCTTATTCGTTTTTCCATCTGTGTATCATCCTCGTTGTGTCCAACTACCAGAGTTGTCTTTGTTTTAAATGTTCTGTGTTAATATTTATTGCTGAGATGTAGGGTTGAGGGATCTCAAGACTATTACAGCGTAACTAAAATAATTAAAGATATAAAAATTTGAGGAAGCAAAATAAAAATTAAGGTAACTATACGTTTGTTTCTTTTTTGGAAAAATGTTATTTGAGTGAATTGCGAAGTATCGACGACCTATATAGTGAAATTTATTTTTGTCTGACAATTGAGAGTAATCTCGGTAATCAGGCTCGACAGCTCTCGCCTCTGAACCAATCAGTCGCAGTTGCAATCAGTTCCAATAGTTATACACCGAAGGCCTACTCTGGGGCGTTAAGCCGCCGTAACTTTGGGCGACTTTGGGCGTGTTAAGGCTACTTAAGGCGACTTAAGCAAAATTGGCAGGAAAATAAAATTCGACTTTAGGCAATTTAAGGCGACTTAAAGCGGCTTAAAGCGATTTTATTTGACTGAAGTGATGAAATCAAAGTTAGCAACAGTCTCTCCATAAACCTTAAAATATTTACAGAATCCCTTGCAATAATCACAATAGTCATTTTGGTTTCTTTTAATTTGTAGGCTCATAAGTCACCACAGACTAAAATACCCTTATGACATTGTGTCACCAAAAGCGACTTAAGGCAACTTAAAGTCCCAGAGTGGGCCTCACCTTAGTGGAGGTGAATAGTGGTAGATGTTTACCACGGTGTTTCGCGGCTTGGTAAAGAACCAAAATCGATCGCGACTTGGTTATCCTCGCATCGTGGGGCGATACGAGATAATTTGGTTTTTCAGCTGAGTTGATAATGTATATGTTAGCTACCGTAAGTAGTTTCTTAGGCTGACATCTCGGTCACTCTGATGAAGGTGTAACATTTGAAACGTCAGCTGTAGAAATTCTTCCCAGTGACCAATTCACATCAACTCAGTTGATAACACTAAATCCCTCCAAATGTTGTATTTTGAACCACTTTTCCACGTTTAACTCTATTAATAAGAAAAGCACCGTTCACTAAAAACCGGTTTACTAAACCATCGTATGGATCTTTTTTTCCATTGCTGTTATTACTCCAATTTGTATCAGTAACTCGACCGACCTTTTGCTCACCTGTACGATTTCGTCGAGTATGTAATTTAAAAGGCTCGCCAAAGTGTGAAATTTAATAATAATAATAATAATAAAGAGTATTTCTATAGCGCACAACTCCAATAAATTGCCCGTGGCGCTTTACAACAAATAAAAATAAATTATAAACACACTACATTTACTAACATTCACTAACAAACATTTTAAATAGATAAGTTTTCAAAACGCTTTTGAAAATGTCAACAGAAGAACTCCTGCGGAGACAAAGAGTTCCACAATCTAGGAGCACATACTGCAAACGATCGATCTCCATAAGTTCGCATTTTTGAAGATTGCTCTACAAGGTCACCATTACTAACAGATCGCAAAGAATAAGAGCTCCCACGATAAGTTAAAAGATCAGATAAATATGACGGGGCCTTATCATTAAGAGATTTATAAACAAAAAGAAGAATCTTAAAAACAATACGATGTCTAATGGGAAGCCAATGCAGATCAATTAAAGTCGGAGTAATATGATCGAACTTCCTAGCCATACAAACTAGACGCGCAGCAGAGTTCTGAACAGATTGTAATTTAGCAATAAGCAACTTAGGAAGTCAATAAAGTAGAGAGTTACAATATTCAAGTTTAGAGGTGACACTGAAAGCATGAACAACCGTTTCAGTGGTTTCGCGGGTCAGATACTTTCTAATTCTCGAAATATTCCTAAGATGATAAAAGGAAGACTTTTATCATCTTAAATCATATTTATCGGTGTCATTATAAAACGAGGGAAAATTGCCCCCAATTTGAAACTGAAATTTTCGATTTGACGAACGGTTCGTAGTGTCTGGTTGAATTTATGGGAGTCATAGTATATTCGATTATTTAAGTGGCCATGATCGTTCCTCGCAGGGATACTATACGATTTTGCTAAAATAATTTAACTTGCCATTTCTTTTTTCGGCATAAACTCTGTCTGTTGACAAATCAGGGAAGGATAAAACGAACTAATACCCCATCAACACTAAAGCTTAAACATGTTTTAGTGCTGTTTTATATTTAAACACGGTGTAAATGAACTGTCTTCCCCATAAAACTGAGCTGCTAAACTCAATCTGTGTTTGTCGACTTAAAATTTAGCATCTTAAAAACAAACGGTAGTGACTACTAAACCATATGAAAAACTCCCTCTTTCAGTTCTCTGTTTCTGATTTTCATTCAGTTAAACCTCGATTTAACAGGCTATCTTAAATATGTTTTGCTAGTGTGAATTGGGTATAATTAATCAAAACTAACTAAGACAAGGAACTTATACTTGGACTCTGTCATTAAGGCATGTCTCTGCGAAGGTCAGTAGGAAATCGCCAGGTCTTTGTGCCGGAATTTATTAGGGAAATTAATTTTTAATGCGACTGACTTACCCAAATAACCAAGAGAGTTCAAGTTTGGAAAGCCTTCTTGTGTGACGGAGCTGAACCCTAAATAACCTTGGATTGTAAATATACAGCAAATATACATGATCAAGCAAATACTTCTCAATACAGAAAATATATTTTACCAGTAATTGGTTAGTCTGGCGCTCAGGACTGTTTTCCTAGTTATCCTTGAAGGGATTAAAACAGCAATATGTCGTGCAACCTAAGAAAATGTAAAGAACCTGTTTTTAATGAGACAAAAGGCAGTCAAAATAATCAGCCAACACACAACATCACTCAATGTAACAATCTTGTTTTGCTGAGTTTCGTGCTCCAGAGTGATTGTAAATTTAACACTCACGCAAAGCTGAAGCTAATGAAAGCAAACAAATGCCTACACGTTCTGCGAACTCTCAGGAAAGAACGCTCAGTATACTCAGGGATAAATAGACCATGTCTTTAGATCTATTGATTTACCAATTTTGACATATGGCCTTCCCTGTGTATGGAGCCTCTGAATCAGACCTTAAACAAATCCAGCGCTTCTTAGGTAAATGTTACAAGCGTTAGCCCTGCCACTTCATTATTTCAAGCCTTTTGGAGGCAGGACAGAAAAGTTTTTGATAAGGGGATCCGTGCACTGGGCTCGCATCCTCTTAAACACATCATTCCTGAAGAGAAAATACTGCATACAATCTACGTAAGAGAGGGTGCTTTCGCCCCAAAGTTAAAACCCAACGCTTCAAATGCACGTTAGCAAATAGGTATAGGTTCATTTTTAAGTACGGTTTATTTTAGTTTTAAATATATTGTAGCAAAGCATATCTGCTTTTATCCTTTGAACTAAAATAAAGACTATATTATTATTATTATTATTATTTTCAAAAATAACTTTCATTTGGAACCAAAGTGTGCTCGGTTATTTGTCCGCGGACATCATCTGTTACGAGAGGCGAACTGTGAGTTTTACGGCCGGAAACAGATATTGTCTAAGGACAATTGGGCGAATACAATTGACAGTCAAATTGAGGCTATCTTGTCTATTATCCTTTGAATGTATTTCCAGCGTGCAGAAAACAGCGTTTATATAGGCAGCCGGGTTACTGTCGTAAACGGACTTATCAGAGCGAGTTAATTATCAAGCAAGTTTGAATTGTCTTTCGGTTTGAAGACACTTTAACATATTGCACTGAACGCAAGGTTTGGAAAATTATCACGCAGGGAATATCCTGGGTATCCTCCAGTTTGAGCTGGGGCGCATGCGATCACGAGACGTGCTTAAACCAATCGCGTGTAAGCGATTGATTGGCAATAGCGCCCAACTAACATCCGAGAGGCACGCAAGAATTATACTCCTGTCAAAACATGAATTTGTTCGGGTTCCTTTCCTGAAATTTCTTAATTGCAGCTCACCCGCAAGGATCATTTATTCACTTTAAGTTCATCCGTAGGTTAAAATGTGATTTATTATTTACGACATCCATTTTGAAAACACTAGTGATCCTTATAATCTGATTGGCCCTAATTGGTGCAATTTATTCACGAATCGCACAATTTTTGGCTCTAAATCGCATCTTTTTCCCGTCAGTGAGGAAGCTTTACCAATACCCAACCAGCTTGATTAAAGAAACCAATCAAATTGAAGGAAACCAAAAATCAAATTTTCCAAATTTTTACAGAGCAGCTCAATACTTAGTGGATCGAAAAAATATTTGTACAGACTAAAAATCCCGTTTGTGAGCGACTGAATTGTGCGACTTCAAAATGGATGCGATGATTCGTGCTACGCGCTCGTTTAATTTTGAAATCACGCGCTTGATTTTAGACCAAATTGCACTCCACCGTATTCACAATTGTAATATTTGACAGATAATAATAATAATAATAATAATAATAATATAATAATAATAATAATCATAATATTCAGCTATGAACGTACAGATTCTTAACGTATTGAAATAAGATATTTATTTTCTGTGAAATGAGCTAACTTCTCGAAACGTCAGCTTTCAAATTGAAACTCATTGCGGTGGCTAATTATCTTGTGATACCACAGTTTCTTATGAAACTTACCCCTTTATTTACTTTTTATCTCGTTTGATCTTAAGGAACATCGCCAGACTTAAACCAACCACATATAAGTTTTAATTAATTAAACACTTCTTTTTGTGATATTTCCGGCAGTGAACAAGAGCTTTCAATAGTACAAAAGAAGTACGATCTAGAAAGAGCTATTAAAAGAGTGATTTCCTGTAAAATTTCAAATTTCAAAATTGGTTAGTGCTAGTCTAAAATTTTTAAAATTGTATTAACCCGCGCAGAGCTATATTTCTAATAATTCGGGTATATTTTGACTATTCGAACAACACTTGTCGGTTAATGCAAAATTTGGCTACCGTTTGTAGATTTAAAAATAGGGCGATTTTACAAGTCTAGCGCTTCTTTCGTGGAAAATTTGGATTTTTTCGAAAAAGTTTCTGTGAAATGAACTTATTTAAGAAAAAACCACCGATGAAAAAACAAAACGTATCGATTTTACCTTTCTAGGCGAGAAGGAGTTTACAGAGGAGGCCACGCGACCTCGTCTCGGTGAGACCTTAAAGACTATAGTAGGTTGCAGGTCATACTATGATTCCTAGAATCATTATGAAGTCACATAGAAACAAAAAGTATTGACATTCACGCTAAACTGTCTTTGGTCTCTAAAATCACCTTTGTTCACTATCTCTCTGCTGTGAAAGAGCCAATCGAGTGGCATAAAGGTAAGTAACCAGACTCAATTGTTCCATTGCGAAATAATATGTATGTTTGTTTTTCATGCTCATCAGTTCAACGGATGTGTATCATATTTCTTTTTTGTTTGTTTACACATCAAATGTGGTACACCTGAAGGGTCGAATATGAATGCACGCGACGTGAATTTGAAAAATAGAAGTGATTTCCCTTTCTTAAAGCTACTTGAATAAGTCAGTGCTTAAGCCAACGAAACTGTATACTGACGTCCGTGACTGTAACCTGTTGGGCTACATCAATAGACACGTTTCGGTTATTCAAATAATTCCGCATGTTACAGACAACGGACGTAACTTGGACAGACGCCACGTCATCTGGAAACCCAGCTTAGTCGTTTATAGATGAAATGCGACGACTAGGGAATAAATTCAACAACCTTTCCAAACCCTGTTCCATTCTTCAAAACTCACCCGCAGACTCCTCTCAAAAGTTTGTGACTCCGAACTGTCTCTAAGTTATTGAAGTTTACTGCCTAAATGAGAGGAGTTGGTTTTGTCAGCTGTCAATTAGCTGTGTTAGATATCATAATAATAACTCTCGAGTTCTGAAGAAAACCTTGATTTTCGAAACTCAGCTGTCACTAGCTCAGAAGTCAACAAATTTTATGTTTTGATAAGAAATTTATCTCTGACGATGGTCATTTTCAGGGAAATATTTTTCCAGACAATAAGAAGATCGGGAACACTGTGTGAAACTCCCACAGATGCCACTGAAATTTTGCGATTTGAGAATTATCATGGTAGGTAAGTAACTAGTTCCAATTTTCTTTAACTGCCTCCGTTGACAAATACTATATGAATCTGATGTAATATGGTTATAGATGGTTTTCGGTTTCTAGTAGTAATGGTAATATATCCGGTGAAAGGATTATAAAAGATGACCTTTGGTGAGACAATTTTGGTTTCATGCGAGATCAACAGAGTCGAAAACCTCTGGTCTTTAGCTGTAAACCAGCCGGCAAATGATTGGCTTAGATAGTTTTTCACGTGACTTGTATCCACCCAATCTATTTTTAGCATCAATTCACGCATGACAACTGCGTGATGACGAGTCGTCGAACAAGCCGGGATTCAAATATTACAGGGTAAATTTGTGAATACAATTTAAAACTTTGTTTTTCCGAAACCTCCCAACGAACGAAGAAAAGAACGTATCGGGAGACTAACCCCCAATAGCTACACTTGGATTTGCTACTCAACACGACTTGAGTTTCGTGGCAAGTAACTTGGCAATCGATTCAAAGATCGGCGGTTGATTAACAAATCGAGCTGACGAGTGTACCAACAGTTTAAATCGCTCTTGGTGAATCATTCTAGTTCGAGCAAATAGGTAAGTGAATCCTCAAAATGCAGGGGGTATCTTTTTGCCTTAGTTAACCTCGTGGTCACCGCAATGTTTATATCAGACAAAGTTTTTGTCAAATCTGCGCTGAGTGGTAAGTTCCAAGGCTCTATGAGAGCACGTTTTATAAGTTTGTTGACTTGACAATGTTTTTTAATGTGGTGTATGCTTGGGTTAGCAATCGGACTTCGCTGCTAAGTTGAATATACAAATGTGTTTACTATGCCCAATCCAAGGAGTTCACTCAATTTGAAGAACGGGGAAGGCTGCCCAGCTTTCATTTGCATATTGACAATAACCTTTGAGTTCGCTGAAAGCGGTGAGTGATTTCGACAAAAACCTGTTAGTTTAACCTTTTTTTGCGTATTATAGAGTTCATAATGAATGAAAGAGGCCTTATTTAATCGACAAGACACTAGTAGAGTAGTTATGGTCTAGAAAAGGTCGTGAAATGGGTTAATTTCGATCTAAAATGTTATCGCATTACACGACAGTTCGCTGGCCGCCATTTTTGTTACGCAGGTCACTTTGTGTAATGTAAATGATCCCAAGGGAATCTCTCTCTTTGTGTTGCTTTGTCATTGGTTTTCCGGCTCAGTGAACAAGCCAATAGCTAGCCATGAAAGCGGCATGTTTGTGGGTTCATTAACACTGTGAAATACGTTTCCAAGGTGGATGAATATGCAGGTATTCCTATCGAGATTGCGTGAATTTGCTTTGATTAACCCGTGAATTCGGCACTCTAAACGATGTGTTTTGATGTGTGTTGAAACAAGGAAAATTGACGGCCGTCGTCATAGCAGGTTTCATTTTCAATTGTGTCGGCATCCGCTGTTTTTTTTTAATATAACTACGGCAAGTCTGTACCGCCTGACGTTGAGACTTCACCGGTGATGTGTGTATTGAGTGAGTGTTTGTTTACATCATGTAAGGAAAGAATGTCTTTTGGATAAATCGAGTGTATTTGCGAATGAAACTGTGCTGTTCATTTTTATTTCCTTTACGTGACGAGGTGTACGAAGGCCGCTTAAGTGCCCCATTGTGTGCTAAATTTTTGTATTTACATATGAATTGATATTTAACATATTTGTTAGTCAATAAATCAAGCGTGATGAAAATATTTAATGTGTTACTTATGGCATGTCCCATTTTGCCTACAATTATGTATTATTACTATTTTAAAAGTTTTTAATCCGCATAACTTTTGTAATGAACCCGTTCATGACCAGTCGTGTCTACTTTTCTTCTTATCACTTGTGGCTTGAGTAATTTTTTTTACAATTGCTTTTATTGCTTACACCAAGTGGTTGAGTGGGTAATTGCCGCTGCAACTCAGGTTATAATTAGAGATTGATAAACTGAGCAGTTGTGGTAATCTCCCGCAGTAATGAGGAAATTCCTCCAGTAACGAAGAGGATTTTAATGATTCTTTTGGGGATGAACCATCGTGAATTGACTCGACAATAACATGAAAAAAGAATTCACAAAAATGATGTGACAAAATAATTTCTCAAACTAAATTATCTGGAAACAAACTTAACCGCACGTTTATTTTAAAGAAAGTTTTCTTTATTTCTCTTTTCTTGCATAGTAAAACCCTTAAATCGGAGGAAACTTGTCAGATAGACTTATGGAGTTATGGAGGAGCTAGAAATACCTAACAAGAAGCGGTAAGGAATAAGTGACAAATTACAACACAGTCCGCAAGTCATTCAATCGTTTGCATATCTTTTTTGTTAAATATTTAATTGATTGCAATTATTTTTCATCTTTAGGAAATTTGACGGAGGGAGTGCAGCCTCAAGTAAGTCGGAAACTTTTTTTGGGCTCTTGTTGAACGTCACGTGCTGCTACGGGTTTGGACTTTGACCAGCTGTAATGTTGTCGCTGATTTTTAGGTCTCGTCTACTCCGCGTATTTTTTAGAGGACATAGTGGACAGTAGACAACTGCATTTTTTTTCAATTGCCAGATTCATTATCAACACTTTCGTTTTTAACCCTCTCTTTCGCAATGTTTGGGTATCAACTCCTTGTACTGTATCCCACACATTCTTCTGATAATTTCGTATTCAATCCAGCAGTATTCCTTGTTGATGTTTTTCTATATCATCATCTTTTTGTCTGAAAATGTACTTATTTTGTAAGAAGAGATTACTTTAAGGTCACTTCAAAGAGTGAAAGGGTTTGGAATATCGTAAACCTGAATGTTACGGCTCAAGCATCTCACAAGTACTCGGTCAGGACTGTTTTTACGAGTAAAGAACAGTTAAAATAGCAATTTTGTATCTTATTTATACTTCTTCTCTTACTCCTTCTCTCTTTTTTCCTTCTGTTTGTGTCCACCTGTCGTTTAGTTTATCTTGAGAAGTAACTGTGCATACATTATATATTGTTCAGTCAGTGTTTAAGGCTCAACAGACAATCACTACTCTGGCTTATGGCATTATGCTGATTTATTATAATTTAAATCATTAATCGTTAATTTACTGTGGATTATTTTATTCAAGTCACTTTATGACTAACGCCCTTTGATATGTAATGTTATGGAAATTTTCAAAATCCACCGTTGAACTGCCAAACTCAATAACTTTTTGAATACGCTACAGTGTTAAAGTATCAGTTAGGAGTACTCTCTTCTTACATTGTAACCTCGTCGCACGAACCTACCGATTTTCCTTTTTTAATACCGACGGTTTTCATTAATAGGAAGCTTAAACACAGACGATTCGGACGGCAAACGGAATTTTTTAGTTATTTTCCCAGTTGCCTTGTTACAAGTCATTTGTCGTCTGAAACGTTTCTTTCACGATGCTAAAGTGAGGGCTAACCAACTGACTGGTTGACTTCAAAGTCGCCAAAAGCAGTTTGTACTCTTTTTCTGGTCACTGCCCACGTCTTAAAAACGTCCTCTCTGGGGCTCCTTCATTATCAACAGCCCCCCCACAAAAGTAAATGATGTGCATCTAAACTTCTAAACTTCCACACTTGCGCAAAAATGAAAGAAAAACTGGTAGAACTCTGCTCACTAGATTTATTCGCTAACTGTCTTTATTCCCGTGTGAATTTATTTTATCGTAATCTTTCTCCTTCATCTGCCCACAGACTGCAATCATTTTGGAGTGCAATTGAGTCTGTGTTATCAGTTAAATGTGTCACGCCTCACGAGGAGTGCACAGCAGTAGCACGTGATTTTTGTGTGACTAAACTCGAGCTTGTAACCTCGTCAAGCTAGTGGAGGCGATGTGTGTCTATTGTTTTCTAGAGTGGTCGTCTCACAATGTATGAGGGAAAGTGAGAATGCACGGTTTGTTGGTATAAGTTGTGTCCCTTTGCTCCATCAGAGATCACCTTTTGTAAGCTAGGAGGCAAAATCTTAAGTGATGGTGTAAACTGTAACAAAGCCATTTGGTATTCTGGCTTAATCTTTTACGCATTTGTTAAGCCCTACCTGTCCAGAAAACGGGTATACTGAAGCAGGAACAACTAAAGAAAGATTTATTTGACTGCTGTGTTTGACATTCTGACTCTTCCACAGAAGTGGACAGTTCTTGTTAGTTCGAGCGTTTATTTCTTTATTTTACGACGCCTGGCTAGTGACCCTGTTTTTAAGCTAACGCTTCGTCATAGACATGAATGTAGAAAGTTTAAACTTGCACCAAATTTCATTTCGTTGCTTTAGCGCCAAACCACGTGGTGACCAATGGAGAGTCTATTGGAACAAGTGATGCAGCTTCCACTCGACCGCCGTCCCATCTAAAATTTAATCTGTCCAGATTTGAGCGACTCCGCCAGATTACAATTGACTGTCAAAAGCATACTCGCCCTCAACCGAAACCCAATGGCAGTAAGATAATTCGATGCAAAGGACCCGTAAAGGAACCGAACCCTGAGATAAATTCGTCGAACGATGCAAACAGCCCAAGCCCTGACCTTATTATATCGTCCGCTGGCTCATCGCCGGCTCATTCACCTAAACCAACGGATTTCAAAATGTTGTCCACGCCCCCGGGGTCGAATAAACTCAGAGATACAAATCCTTCGACACTTGACAATACTTCTGAACTGAACTCCTCTGATCGCCAAAAGGCGTGTATTAAACTTTTGGACAAATTCGACGAATCTTCAAGCCAAACGCTTTCTAATGGAGTCTCCGCTGAGGCTAGGACTTTAGAACAGGATTCCTTGGTTGAAGTTTTGGATGAAGGCGATCAAACGCGCCCCATGAACCCTGGCGCCAAGGCTGTCCCTGTGAATGGTGAAATCAGTTTGTTAGGGGAGAATAAAGTGTCAGCGGATAATGATAAAACTTCTGCGAAGGATCAAAGTTCACCATCTTTATCAGACCTGGCTCCCAGTTCTAGCGCGGAGGAAACTACGAGGGACTTTAATTTTAATTCGGATGAATTCAGACAAGTAAGCTTTTTCTGTTCAATTTTGTTTGTTGGTGCCTCATTTGTGATTTTTATTTTGCTAATTGACTCAGTTGTTTTCAGACTGCTTTCCTCGTGAATAAGACCATTATGTATTACGCGCATGAAAAGTTGAGGGAAGCCCTTACTGGCTGCCATACTTTTCATTTATTTATTTTTTTTTAAACTCAGAGAATTTTGTTTTGATTGAAAAATATAGTTCCTAACTAGGGTATCTAAAAGATATCGTTTCGAGCGTTAGCCCTTTGTCATTCGCTCTGGCGAAGGGCTAATGCTCGAAAGGTCAGCTTTTCAACTCGTTACGGTAGCCAATTTACAATTTCAACTTAGTTGATATAACCAAATTACCTTGTTACCCCCACCGACGTAGCACCACAGTTTCTTTAGAAACTTTGACCCTTTATCTAAAAGATATTAATGCTGCGGAACATTCTGTCGAAAGTGACATAGTTTACGCGATTCATCTACTGGCCTGTTCCCAAGACTTACATAAACCCTTCATTTCTTTTAGTAGTGTCGAATCAAGGGGCGTTTCCAAATCTAACATTTAAGAGCACCCTTCTTGCCTCAAATGATATTCTGTCGGAACACTGGTTGCTGGTTTAGTTAGTTCAATGACCACATGCCAAGATGGATCGCAATTTTATTTTTTTTATGGAGAGGGGGAGGGGAGAGGGGTCGTAATTAATGGAGGAAACCTAGATGGAGGTTTTGAGTAACGTATCTCAAAGGTTTTTGCTACTGGTGAGAATTAATACTTATAACAAAGAAAGTAGCGCGCACTCAGAAGAAAAATATTGCCTTATGTAACACAATCTCATCCGGCCTTGCCAAACCTCAAGAACATACAGATAAGGAATATATCACATCGCAAAGAAAAATCCTTCTGATCCCAATAAGAGGCTAACGTTAAGGGTGGAAGATTTAAAAGCGCTAGCGAATGTTAGGAGTCGCACAGGCCTGTCAACACCTTTTAGCTGTCGACTGCCTTCTGCTTTTCGGCTTACCAGCATGTCACTTCACGCAACTTTGAGTTATTTATTGCTCAGGTGACTCCTTTTATTGTCTGATTTAACTGTCCTTCATTCAGTAGTCAAGATAGTAAATTGACTGTACAATACTCGCTTAGGAAGTAGATTTACAACACGATTAAGTACTTATAGGAAATGTCCTTTTATAGTAGTAACGCTATGTAACGCCATACACTAAACATGACAATAAGACTTTCGACGGTCATAACCACTCTCAAACAATATCACTTAAAATGCATAAAACACGTGTACCGTGAAAGGTAATACGAGGTAAAAAAAAATTTGACCTTCTCCAAAACCGGTCTCAAATGACTTTCTAAAAAAGTGTTTGTGTTTGTCCATGAGAACGAAGGAATACGCGACAAATACGTTGAAAAAATACTTCTACACATTCAGTGTATGTAAAATTACATTTACTTATAGTGAAAGAAAAAAGAAACGACCTGACTTTTACGGAATGTTCAGTTCAATGCAATGCATTCTGGTAAAAAGTGGTGAATTTGAGAATTCAAACCCCCCTTTATATATTCTTTTTAAATCCTGATTATAATGCTGCGTAGCGAGCGAGCAGCATCGTAATCAAGATTTGAAAAGAATTTAGGGAATGCGAATTCTGGAATTCATCACTTTGTACAAGAATACATTGCTGCTTTTAACCAGAGTGCACTGCGCCATTCATTACCAGAGTGCACTGCGCCACTCATTACCAGAGTGCACTGCGCCACTCATTACCAGAGTGCACTGCGGGTCTGTACCTCATAACAGTACTTCACTAAATGCAGGCACAGGCACTTCGATTGCATTGCACAGTGGTAGTGTGATTCTCGATGTGGCAGTGAATGCGGCAGATTATTAATTATTACCCTCCCCCCCCCCAAAAAAAAATAGAAAATTCTAATTCGTCATGGTATGTAGTTAACGAACTAACTAAACCCGCAATCCAGTGCTCAGGCAGAATAAGCTAGAGTATCATTTGAGGTGAGAAGGGTGCACTTAAATCTTGCTTTTGGAAACACCCCATGATTTGAGACTACTTTCAGAAATAAAGGTTGATGTAAGTCTTGGAAGGAGCAGGAAGATGAATTAAGTGGGTAAACTATGTCACTATCAACAGAATGTGCCGCAGTATTACTATCGTTTAGATACTCTAGTATATTTTTTATATTCTCATCAGTTTCTTGTTAACAACGGTTTTAAGCGTTAATCAATAAGAAAAAAGGTAAAGATATTATATTGATCCTGTAAGGTGAAATTCTCTCCTTGTCATTCATGGAAATAAAATGGTTGAAGACCGGAACGCTCTCTGATAAGTTGCTGCGATTCGTCGCAGATACCTGTTAGTCGTCCATAAATTCTGTTATGATTTTGCCTTTATGGCTTAATTCTCCCTGCCAGCGTGAGTTATAATGGTAATTGAACTGAGTGGAGTGCAATTTAGTATAGGTAATCACATGATTTCGAGTGCAATTTGGAATAAATAAGCACGAGTAAATTTTTTCAAAGACTAACAAAATTGCATGAGCCCGTAGGGCGAGTGCAATTTGTGGTCTTTGAAAAAATTTACAACTGCTTATTTATTCCAAATTGCACAAAAAAATCATGTGATTATGTATTAATAATATACATAAAAAAAACGAGGTAGCTTCTCATAACTACGCAGAAGAAAAGCGCGCGCATCACGTGCAAAAATAATTTATTCAAACCCTGCAAGTGACATTGACCTTGACATTGACCAATCATTCTCACCAATCAGAATGTCCGGTTTGTTTCTTTCTTTGCACTGAATTAACTGAAAACTGCATTCATCTTAACCAATCAGAACTGAGAAATTTTTTCATGTATTTAGGTCTGAAATCATACTCGTGACTTCGAAATTGAACGAGCGTGCAGCGCCAGTTTGATTTGAAATCACAAGTATAATTTCAGACCAAAATTGCACGACACGAGGTTCAATTACCACTTTATTACATCCATTTTGAAATCGCCCAAATACAGGACTTGGTCAATTCAAATATTTTACTGATGCAGAACTGAGCCGGTTTTTCAACGAAAAGCGGAACCGGAAACGTTTTTACATCTTATTTTGTATGCAAAACAGAAAGACTTTGACGTCATGTGTCAAAAACTTAGTCAAGTGTAAAATGATTCAATTTAGAGCAAAAAATGGTGCGATTTGGGAGTAAATCGCACCAGTTAGAGCCAATCAGATTACAGGGACCACCAGTGATTTCAAAATGGATGTAATAAATATGAAAATTACACTGACGATAATTCTCCATGATATGAAGATCTTATGTCATTGTAACGAGAAGTTGTATGTTGATCGCGTCTGGGAGTCGAAGGGATGGGTATAACTACTGAGGTAGGGAATTCGAATCCCGAACAATGGTTAGAAGTGAAAGTCTCTCAAGCTACGATATTTCCAGTGAGAACATGGTCAATAGAAAAGTTTTCATTAACTGTCTTATTATAAATCTGGGCATGTTGAAGTCTTACGAATAGTCACATGCAGCCTCTCTCTCATAAACTAATCTTCGTGTCTCGTAGATGGTCAAGAAAATGATCCAAGAGAGGATGAGTCAAATCCAGCAGTCAATGGATGACGACAGCCCGAACGACAAGCTCACTGTTAGGCTAGCTGCACTTGAGAAGGAGAACAAAGCATTGAAAGAATACGCCAAGAGGGTAGAAGATTCTGTAAAAACGATTTTAAAAGCTGAGAGCCTAAAAGCAAAGAAACGAGAAACTAAAGCTGTTCAAACCCAAGATTTTAACTGGGTGAGTTAATGTCCTGGTAAATGCAATCAACAAATAAATGTAATCAGCAACAATGCGGGGAAAAATTACACCCAGCCAACCTATTCATCTGGAGGAAGTGGTCGGTTTCGAAAACACTATCAAGAAACAATGTGTGTGGGTTTGTTTACCTTATTTTATTTTGTTGTGTCACTTGTATAGTACAAGGATTCCCCGTTGCCTACAAAGCAGAACATACCTTGACGTTCTGCGGATTTTTCCTTAATTTGGTTGTTGGATAACAGAACCAAGTATTAGAAAATCTCTTTTTTAACCAATGACTGTCAATTATGTTTATCGTTTTTCAGAGTAACGCTCTTCGTACGAAGACTGTGAATGTTCCATCTCCCCCAGCGAGTCTAACGGCTACCAGGCCCTCAAATGCCAGTGTCAATATCATGACTACACCAACACCACGACTCACTTCCACCGTAGCACCTTTGCCCGGCCACACAGTGCCGCAATCCGCTCCTGTTAACTATCGCCCTGCGGTTCAGAGGCAGTCGGAGCCTGTGCGTCCTCGTATCCCTGTTGTATCAAATGTCTCGCCTCGTCCACAAGCACCTATTGCATCGGGTGCCAATTACGTCCCTAATTACGACCTTGGGCCAGCGCTTAGACCCACACCCACCCAGCTGGCAGTGCCAAGGGGTGCTGCTCCAACTGTGCGCCAATTCCCTTCGGGTCATTCAGGGTTTAATGGCTTAAGAGCTCCTCCCCCGCCAAGTGTTCAACATCCAAGGCCGATGATGAGGATACAGCGACCCATCACTAGCCTTCCTGGACCACGTAGCGTTGCTCCAGCTCCTTCCCGCCCGTTGCCCACGGTGACGGTTCATCCGCAAACTCCGTCTAGTTCTACATCTGTCCGGGGTCCCCCTGAGTTGCCTTCGTATGGTTACAACACGCAAAACGCTTATCATAACGGGAAGCATAGCCCGAGATTTGCTGTAACTCCACAGATGAGACCTCAAGCACCCCAGCCTCCCCAGGGTGGCCTCCCCCAAGTCACTCAAGTACCTAGACCAGCTTATCCGCAGTCTCCTATTCAAGCGTCGCAGTCCCAACATATGCTGCAACAGTCTCATCGTCAAGAACAACAACAACACCCTCAACGACACCTCCCTCCAGTACTCGTAAGACAGAATGCTCCAGTGCAAATGCAGTCTCCTCCTCATGCTGTCAGCCAGCAAGCTTCTCCTCACCCTCAGCAGCCCGGTATGGTGCGTTATCAACAAGTGGTTGGACCTCCGAGACAAGTTGCTCCACCGCAACCTTCAGTTCCCCAGCCAAGCTACGCACAAGTACCCATAAGATCCCCGCAGCCTGCCCAACAGGGTCTACCGCCGGGTTCAGGGCAACATCCCCCCGTCTCTCCAGCAGCAGAAGCTAAAGACGTCCCTCCGAAACCTAGTGTCTCCATAGCGGTAGCTTCGAGCGGTATTGTTTTGTCGTGGTACATGGCTCTTGAGGAGAGACACGCGCCTATAAAGAACTATCAACTGTTTGCGCTTCAGGACGGCGGCCCAACGGAGAACCCTCACCAGTGGAAGAAGATTGGAGTCGTCAAAGCGTTGCCACTTCCTATGGCTTGCACTCTGACTCAGTTCTCACCCGGCAATAAGTACCACTTCTTGGTACGTGCTACTGATGAATATGGACGACAGGGTGAGTGTAGTGAGGCCTGCACTATCACGCTCAAATGAATCTTCTTTGGCACTAAAACAAACTTTATTGTTGAGCTCATCATCGACAGTAATTGTACTTGCATATAGCAAACTTAATATGGACTCTTTAGTCTGAAGTTAGTTTTGTACTCCAAAAACACAACGGCAAGCAATGATAGGTCCTTTGTAGAGCAAGGTACTTGGAGCATATGTGAATCGAAATTTAACATACGTCTTCCTTACCGTTATGCGCAGCCGAAGCCAAACGTATTTATATCTTTTACTTCTGGAGGAAAGGATCGCGATCTCAGATGCGCAAAATTTATTTTATTACACCAAGGATATGAATTAATTGATTTTCTACTGATTGTTGGTTACTGTTTTGTAGATTTTGTTAGCTTTTGGGAATAAAAGATTTTAACACTAGGTAGAACGAGCGTTGTACTATTGCTGAACCCTTTTGTTATGTTATTTTCTACAAAAAGTGGTCATTATGACACGACCTGGGTATTAGGACTTTTCGCTCGTACGCTTAAATCTTCAGGCTGAATGCGAAAGTGCGATTTCGACCTGTTTACCGATCTTCCTCAGCTTGAACCTCGAGTGAAAGAGATAGAATCCTGGGGAAGAGGCTCTCTCTTTGTGTTTAACGTCAACAGTAAGTTTCCCCCAACTTCGTTTGACTAGACTTAAATAGTTCAGTTCTTCCATTCGCGAACATCTCACTTAACTTAAGGTGGCTGAACACAGTTTTTGATACTTGTGAACAAAGGCTGATAGTTTCTAAAGAAACTGTTTGGGGCTGCGTCGGTGGGGGTAACGAAATAATTTGAATATATCAACAAAGTTGAAATGGTAAATTGGGCACCGTTACGATTATAAAAGCTGACGTTTCGAGCGTTAGCCCTTCGTCGGAGCGAAATGATACCTGTGTTTCTTTGACCATTTTCTCTAAAACCCTTGATCTCTCGGTCGCCAAAACTGGCAGCAAGCAAGTTAACAACACAAACTTTGGATTTTTGAAAGTTAAGCTGACGTAGGTATCGTTGTCATGGCGACATAAATAGATANTCGCAATTTTTTTACTTACAACGCATGCGCTGCATTTAACTGGGTTCTCTCGCTAACGACGAAAAAGCTGAGAATTGCTGGGCTCTTTGCACCGTTAACTTTTCTAACATGTCTTTGTAATAAAAGATTAAAGCCCTCAATACACTGCGCCAACTATAGAGAAAAATAGCACAGATAGTGCGGATACGTGTTGAGTAAATAAAACGACCGCTCCATTGTTTTTTGCAATCCTTCCGCGTGCGCTGAATTGCATCAGCAAAAGCGCGCGCGAAAGCTGTTTTCAGCTATCGATATCATCTCAGTATTGCATCACGTATCTTGTACTGCGCTTAAAAATCAAGTAATCAGGCGAATGAGCGCACACGCACTTCGAGATCACGGTATTGTTTTTCAATCAATGGACCAGTGAAGAGGTATGATGGTCTTTAGCTCTTTAACGAGCACGGTGACCTATATCTTTTTTCTCTTTCCATAATTTCGTTGTACAAGTTGTTCCCTTTAAATTGAGGAAATTCGAAATAGATTCTTCGAATGGAGAAAAAGATATAGCTAAAAGCGTGGACGAAGCTCGTTACTCGAGGACGCAAATTATAACATTGATAGCAACGACTCGCGGAGCGTTTTGAGTCTCCATACGCTCGACACTTTCCACTTGTCGTGTTTTTTCCAAGTGTTACTTTAACAACCGTTGCTTCTTGCTGCTGCAAAATATACCGTGAACCGATGAGATAACGCGCGTATTAGTGCCAGTACAGGCATAAAATGGGGTAAGTTTGGCCGACATGAAATTACTCGCTTCAACTTGAAGGGAAACGCAAGACCTTTTCCTTCCAATAATGAAGTTTCCCTAAGTACCTCTCGAACGATTATCAAACATTATAAAAGACCAAGTTTGTTTCTCGTTTCCAGACACGAAGAGACCAAAACAAATTAACTAGTTTGACTGCTATACCCGTTGCAATCCGTATCTCCTACCTTCAGTCGAGTAAAAATTAACGAAAAAGAAAAAAGTTAGTTAAGGCGATTCCTCAAAAAAAGGGTAAGTGAAACTTTTTTTAAACTTTCCTCAAACGTTCCCTACCACTGTCTGTTTCGAGAAATAAAATATAAAAGATAGGTCATCGTCCTTGTTTAGAAGATATGATGGATGTGTCAAACCAGATGTTAAACTACATTATATGTCAATACATGTATATTTTTATGCAGATAGTATCTTAATGGTTTCAGTCTCCTTCGTAGCCGTTGTTGGTTGTAACTCTACGGTCCACAAAGAGTAGCATGTCAACTTGAGTTTCCGTTGTAAAGTCCTTGAAGGCTATTTTAGTTCGTCCTCCGACCTCTCTGTCGATTTCCTTGTATTACAGAAGGTGACCTGTCGAGACTTTTGCAGTTTTGATCAGTCATGCCTTACTTTCATCTCGGAGAATTTCAGAGAAGAATCAGAAACCCAAGGATGCCCGATTAGACCATTCCTCGCATTTGGATTAACCTCACCACACTGGTTTTCCCACCATCCACCATAACGAAAACAGTTTCAGGGTGAGTTGTCGTTATCCTGGTCTGGTGTTCCGAATTTCATTCCCCGGATGTTTAATTTACGATTTGTCTTGCCATGAAACCCATTTCCGATGTTTCCTTCGTACGAATTCATATTGCATCAATACTTTTCTGTTTCGTCCGCTACCCGAAACCCCCCATATTTGGCATATCCCTTTTGGCCGCTAGTTCGGTGCAGTTCTATTCGAAGAATGCTGTCGGAAGAGGCGATCCGGTGCAAGTTGTCGTTCGCAAGCCAGAATTCTCCGGATAAGTCGCCGAAGCCTACTCGGTACTCTGCCCACGTTCGTGCAAAGCTCTCCTTGTATGGACGGGAACGTCACTGAACAACAGTCCACCCCTTCCATTTGTGGTTTGGTCACAGTACACATACATACAAACATACATACATACATACATACATACATACATACATACATACATA